AGCCTGCCTCAGGGACCCTGTCGGGCTGCTGGCCGGGAGCCACCTAAGGTAACTGATCCCCGGCCTGAGCCTGCTTCCAATCCCAGCCCCTGCCTCTGACACCCCAGCCCCTCCCACTTCCCAACTCCCTTCCCCAGGTCACCACTCAAATCCTCTGCACATACATCCCACCCCCCATCACAATTCCCTCCCGGCCCCTGAACTCCCCACGACACCCCTCCCCCAGGTCAAAATTCCCTCCTGGCCCCTTCTCCCTCCTGGCCCCTGCATCCTAATAACCTGCCCCAAGTCACAGCCCCTCCCTCACCTAAACTCCCTCCCAGACCCCACACCCTCTCCTGCACCCCAGTCTCATCCCCCGAGCTCCCTTCTGTACCCAACCTCCCACCCAGGCCCTCTGCATAGAGCAATGTGGCCCTTGGCTACTTTCCAAAACCTTGGTGTGGCCCCCAATCAAAAATTACTGCCCCCCCCCCCCCCCTCCCCCCCCCCAGCCCCGTCGCCCCCTAACATTCATCCAGTCTGGAAGGGCAAAACCTCCCAGCCTCCAACAAGGATCAGACCTGCACGCGGGTGGGGTTTCCTGCACCTTCCTCGCAGGCGCTGGGCGTGGTCTGAGACGAGACCCTGGGCGAAGTGGCTGGGGGGCATGACCAGTCTGGCGCTTCCTGTGTCCCTGACTGAAAGGGGAAGGCCAAGGCATATTCCCAACGCAAGCCACCCCCTTCTCCTCACCCAGCGCTCGAATGATTAGATCCCCTTCCCCCAGCCCCGTGTGCCCTGTTTTAGCGGGGACGCGTTCCGAACCTCACTCCGCTGGGCATTTCCTCTGGGTTCAGTCCTATGGCTGAACTGTGCCTGGTTTCTCCAGTCCCGCCTGCGCCCTGACGAGAGACACGCTCTGCGTGGCTGCGCTGCCAGCCAGAGAACCTGGCCTGGGGCCGGGCTTGCTGCAAAGGAATCCGGGCCAGCCTTCGGAGCCGGAAGGATGGAGACAGCCTCTCTGCGTGTGTGAAAGCACCACCACCCTCCTCCCGGCCCTCCGCTGGCAGCCCCAGACAGCTCTGGGTGCTGTCAGTGCCGATGTCGTCTGGCCTGCCTACCCAGCTGCAGAAAGGCCTACGGTGGGAACCTGTCAGCACAGGCCGGGAGAGAGCGACGGAGATGGAAAAGAAGGGTCATGTGTGGAGAAGGCAGACGGTTCCCCTGTGATCGGACACAGAGCGCCTGGAGAACCAGGAGGCAGCCGCTTGGCCACCTTGTCGCTTCTGAGTGAGACAGACACGCGTGGACACGTTACGCTTCGGGCTCACACTCCGATCGTTCTCTGCAGTCACCCACAGGCCGGGCTCAGTCGGATCTGGCCCCCGAATACTGTGGGGCAGATCCCAAGAGGGCACAGACCCGCCTGGATGGGGGAAGAGGGAACGAAGAAGAGGCCCATCTTGGGGCAGGACTCGGGGCCAGAGGGGGTAGATCCCTGTGCTCCTCAGGGCCAGACGGGGTAGATCCATGATGTGCTGGGAGACAGGCATGAGCACAATTGGGAAGGAGGAGGGTGGAATGGGGGGTCCGTCATGGGGCCCCGTGTTTGGTAGCAGCAGCCTGACCTGGGTGCTATCCCAATCGGACACAGCGACCCATCGCATCAAGGGGTGTGTCTAGACTACACCTCTCTGCCGACAGAGAGATGTAGATTAGGCACATCGAAATTGCTAATGAAGCCGGGATTTAAATTATCCCATGTCTCATTAGCATAAACACGGCCACCACTTTTTTCGACATTTTGAAAAAAAAACGGCAGTCTAGATGCGGATCTGTTGAAAATAAACCCTCTCTCGACAGATCCTATAAACCTCATTTTTTGAGGGTCGAAAGGAGGGATGACAGAGGAATGGAGTCTAGGCGGAGCCGAGGAGAGAAACCGCCACATGCACCGCCTCCTCCCCCACCCAGCCTCTCTGCCACTTCTGCCTCCCCACGACGGGCCCGGGGAAGGCGGCAGGGCCTGCAGCACCTGCTCTCTTGGGTGAAGCCACTCGGGCCCAGCTCCTCAAAGGGAGTGAGGTTCTGAACTTCCATTGGACGCGCCGGGCGCTTGGTACCGTGGGGGCCTGCGCCTTCACCTGGGCCAGGTGATATGGGGCGGAATGAGGCAACGGCCCATGGCCCCAACCAGAAGAGCTTCTGCTTAAACTTCAAAATCCCCACCGGAGGTGCACAAGGCACCAGAGAGATGCTAAGTCTTTATTATGACGGAGCAGCCCAGGCCTGGGTGGTAGTGGGGCGCGTGGTGGAGAAATTCAGTCCCCAGACCAGGCTGTATGTGGGGCTGGGGACCTGGGAGTCCCAGACACGGCCCTGCTCTGGGGGAGGATGGGAGATGGCCTGGCTGGCATGTGGCCTCTTAGGACCACAGGAGAGGGGTGTGTCTAGGCTGCACTGTGCAGCGTGGGCTTTGCTAGGCGGGAGCCGGGTCCCCCACGCCACCCTCAGGGCTGTAGCCTCCTCCAGAAGCCCCATCACTCACCCTTGCTCCTCCATCATCTCCTGCAGCTCCATGCACTTCAGCTCCACCCTCCGCTTCCGCTCGTGATCCAGGATCTCCCGGTGAGCCTTCTTCACCAGGCTGGGCTCCACCAGCCGCACCTCCTCCTCCGGCTTGGGCCAGGTGCCGGAAGCGCCGGGCTGGGCAAAGCCATTGGCCGCCTCCTGGGGGGACGGCATCTTGGCCCCGTTGTTATACAGTGCCATGCGGGCGGCCGCCCTGCGACTCCACAGCCCCTGCGAGGGACAGAAACACCGTCAGGGGAAGTCAGTTCCCACTTCCCAACCCGGAGGGACGAAAAAAGCCGGCTGAGCGCTAAGCCACCTTGTTAAATCCACACTGACAGCTCCGTGGGGGAGGAGCTGTTCTAAGCTGCTTCTCAGCCCTGGGGGGAGCCCAGCCGACAAAGGCGGCCTTTCTAGGCCAGGAAGGGGCCAGGAATTGGGGGTGCAAGTGAAAGGAGAGTGAACGAAAAACAACGGGCCCAGATCCCAGGTCACCCAGCCATCAAGGCATCACTCGAAGACCCTCCTTCCGAAGGCCATCCCATCCCTGGCCCCGCTGGGGTGCCACTCTGCTTTGCCCCCGTGGCCTCACTCAGCCACCTGACTAGAAGCGGCATCTGGATGTGTCGTGTCAACAGGATTTCCAGCTCAAACCAGATCAGTTCACTAGCCCAGTGTTTCTCCGCCAGTGGTCCAAGTACCCTCAGGGGTACTCGAGAGACATCTGGGGGGTACGTCAACACCCCTGAAAATTGGAGGAAACTGAATTTTTGTTGTAAATTTTACAGCTCTTTTTTATTTTTGTACTTTTTACACCCCAAAATTTCATCACCTGCCTGGCTACAATTAAGTCGTTTAAACCAATATGTTGCAATGGTAGAAAAAAATTGTGTGTGTCTGAAAACTGTAGGTACTGGGGGCACTTATAATTGTTTTAAGGGGCACTTTATAAAAAAAGGTTGAGAAACACGGCGCTAGCCCATGCCAGGGATGTGGCAGCCAGGCGGGGCTCTTCTCCTGCTGATGCAGCATCACCAGCCATCAAGGTTCTGCTCCCCTTGGCGATGCCCATGCAACCCCCCAACCCCATCTTCCTCTTTGCCCCAGGCAGCCCCCACCCCTCTGAGCCAGGAGCCTACAAGCCCGACTGGCTGGGACTTTGCAACCCACTCTGCGGCAGGGGCTGACTCCGCAGGGCACTTTTCAGGTCCTCACGCCAGCAGGCCCACGGGACATGTGACAGGAAGCAGGGATGTGGCCCCTGGACGTGGCCCCGGGACGTGGCCCCAGGACGTGGCAGGGAGAGCGGCCTTTCAAACCGCACAAGGCCAGAGTCACCCACACCTGGCAACGCTCAAGGGAGCGACTCCAACTGGATTCCAATCTGGGTTCCCAGGAGGGCGAGGCAAGGGGACCACGCACAGAGCTGGGGGAGTCTGTTACTGGCTAAGTGCTGGCAGTGCCTAGGGGGTAAGATCACAGAATCCTAGAGCTGGCAGAGCCCTCAGGAATCATCGAGTCCAGCCCCCCTGGACCAACCAACTCAATCATCCCCGCCAGGGCTTGAAAACCTCTGGGGATGGAGATTGCACCCCCTCCCTAGGGAACCCATCCCAGTGCTCCCCCACCCTCCATTTTTCCTAATATCCTAGACCTCCCCCACTGTAACTTGAGATCATTGCTCCTCGTTCTGTATCTGTTACTGAGAACAGCCTCTCTCCAGCCTCTTTGGAACCCCCTTCAGGTAGCTGAAGGCTGCTCTCAAATCCCCCCTCACTCTTCTCTTCTGCGGACTAAACAAACCCAAATCCCTCAGCCTCTCCTCGTAGGTCACGTGCTCCAGCCCCCGAATCATTTTGGTTGCCCTCCGCTGGACCCTCTTCAGTGCGTCCACATCCTTTCTGTAACGCGGGGCCCAGAACTGGACACAATACTCCAGATGTGCCCCCCCCCCGGTGCTGAATAAAGGGGAATCATCACTTCTCTAGACCTGCTGGAAATGCTCCTCCTAATGCAGCCCAATAAGCCATCAGCCTGCTTGGCTACAAGGGCGCCCTGTTGACTCCTATCCAGCTTCTCAGCTCTGTAATCAACTGTAGCCAGTTGTCCCCAGCCTGTAGCAGGATTTGGGACTTTTCCATCCCAAGGGCAGGACTCTGCACTTGTCCTTGTTGAACCTCATCAGGTTTCTTTTGGCCCAAACCTCCAATTTGTGCAGGCCACTCCGGATGTTGTCCCTACAAGGGACGTTATGCTGCAATTAATTAGCTAATCGAATAGTCAATGGACTTTCCATCAACTACTTGATTAGTCGATGAGGGCGCTCATTACCCTCACTGCAGCTCTGCAGTTTAAATGTAGGAGGAGCTGGGTGTGCAGGCAGCCCGGCTCTTACTACATTTAAACTGCAGAGCCGCAGCAGGATTAGCTTCCAAGGGCAGCGCGAGCTGGGTTCACACAGCTCCAGGACCGCTGCAGCTCTGCCTCTCCTAACCCTCCCCCCACAGCAGAGATGATGCTGGGGAGGAACCGGCTCCCCTCCCCTCCAACGTGTCTACCTCTCCCAGGGTATGTACATAGGAGCATCTCATGCTCTTGAGCTCTGGGTTCAATGCTAACAGCCAGCTGAGCAGAGGCGGTTTCCTCCCCTCCGGCAAGGGCAGCATTAAAACCGCTTCCCTGCACCTCGATTTGATCCTTCCTTGGGTAAATGGGGCTTTTGGTCCTCAGCTTCAAGGGAAGCCAGAGTCAGCCTTCTGCCAACGCTTGTAGATGCTCCGATTCCCCGCCCCATCCCTGCCCAAGACATGCAACTGGAGACCAGATCTCCGTTCTTTTGATTTCCTGGCTGCCACAAAGCGCCACCCGTCCTGGCGTCATCGTGTTAACTGGATTATTTCATTAAACACAAGCTCAAGCCGGGCCTTTTGCATGAGGCTGGGAGGTTCTGTGGTGGCTACATTGAATCCTCATGGCAGGAAAACCCAGCTGAGCTCCTGTGCTAAGGAGAAAGGCTTGAGAGCGCAGGACATGCTGGGAGGAAAGGCACAGCTCCCTGCAAGCTGAGACGGTGATTAGGTACCGGTTGCAAATTAGCAGGCACACGAGGAAGTCTCCCATATCCCCAGAGCCTGCAGGTGAAATCTGGCTGCTGCGTGTTGCTTGGAAAGTAGGCTAGGAAATTCAGTTCAAAACTTAATGATGATGATGACCAGGTGCCCACTGCAAAAGTCTTGGGGCACAGAACGAAGACAGGAACCTCTCCCCCGTCCAGGAAGCGAGTCCCCAGAACCCTACAGCCTCCCCGCAGGTAGAGGACAGAGACAGAGACAGGGACTTGTGCCTTCCAGAGCCGGCACTCCGTGGAACGTCTGGGCCAAGAGGCTCCCCTACCGCCTGAAAGCATGTCCGGGCTGTGCCTCTGTCTCTTAGCCGCAGTGCATGGTGGGAAAAATCAAGGGAGCCAGGAGCTTCTGGCCCGTCCAGGCAAGGCATCAACAGCTCTTGCTGCTGCGCCCAGAGCACCTGGGAGCCGAGAAGTCCAGCCCCGAGCCAAGCCTGGGCCCACTTGGCCAAAGAGCAGAGACCCACCCATCACCGAGGGGGCAGTTCCAGCTGGTGCTGGTTTGCCAGGGAACGGCGCTGCCCATCTGGAGGGAGCTGCGGGGGGAGTTTCGGCAGAGCCCCCCGGCCACCTAGCCCCGTGCCCACACATATGAGAGATAACGCCCCTCCCCCAGCACTGACGCCCACACTGACTTCACAGGCTGGGGCGCTGTCTCCCCCTACGGCGAGTGCTTGTTCGCTGAAACCGTCCAGCTCCCAGGCCCTGAGCGGGATGGGGGCCTGCCGAGGGAGGCCAGGAGGGCGCAGTGCCTAGGAGAGGGCATCGCCGGGCAAGCCAGGCCAGGCCCAATGCCCTGAGATCCTTCCACAGCTCCAGGGGATGCCAGTGCCTCCCCATTGCCAGCTCCCTTCCTCAGCCGCGGGACACGCCGCTGGGCCTGGCAGTCGTATGCGCAGGCACAATGCAGCGAAGTGGGGCTGCCCCCCCACCACAGCTCATTGCTCAGATAGTCACCACTTTCCATGTATGCAACAAACTGACCCTGCCTGTCTTGGCAGAGTCGTTTAACCTCTGCGCATGGGCCCCGAGAAGTGGGCACTTTCCCCACAATTCCACAGAAGCCACCCATGGCTCTGAGCCAGACATCGCACAGCCCTGTGCCTCAGTTTCCCCTTGGGAACACTCGTGGGGGGCTGCACTCCACCGCGGAGTTGCAAGGTTGGATTTATTAGTGCCTCTATGTGAGATCCTGGAAAGGAACCGGCAGCTTTGAGCACAAATATAACCAGCAGGTTGGCGGAGGTCGCGAGGGGGAAACAGGATGGGCATTAAACACCACTCAGAAAGGCGAGCAGGGCGCTCAGCACCACGAGAGCGCCACCAGGCGGGATGTGGGGGGCCGTGTCATGACTTAAGGAGACGTGCGTCACAAGGGAAACTGAGAGTGGTAGCTATCTGGACAGGAGGGCTAACAGGAAGGGACTTCTGTAGCCCAACAGGAAAGGGCTGAGCTGGGGAGCTCAGGGTGCAGGTCCCCTTTCTGTGCCTCAGTTTTCTTATCTGTGAAATGGGGTTATGCTCAATGGATCTAGGGACTGGCCTGAAACCCACTGAAGTCAATGGCTCCCATGGATGTCCTGCCTGGGCACAGGGAGGGGACTGGTGTGTTTCATACTAGGGGAGGTAGCCCCAAGAGTTGGTTCCCCTTTTTCAAGGCTCTTGTGCTCTCGTCAGGTGCTGTAAAGCACCCGATAGACTGGAGATTGGGGGTGCAACTCGCCCCAGAAGCATGTCCTGCATCAGGCCCCAGGGTTTGGCTGGAGGAAGGGCCGAGTCAGGCCCGCAGGCTGGCACACGGCTACGGGGACATATGGCTCTGGGCCACAGGGGTACATGGTGGCCACAGGGCTCTTTAACTGCTCCAACTTTATTTGCAAAGGGTCAACGCCCAGAGCTATTTTAATTCACGCAATCCCATGGACTGCCGGTTGCCAGGCAACGCAGCCTTCTGTTGCCGCCTGTGCGGAAGCTTTTAAGGAGGTTGCGGCTGGCACACGGCTACGGGGACATATGGCTCTGGGCCACAGGGGTACATGGTGGCCACAGGGCTCTTTAACTGCTCCAACTTTATTTGCAAAGGGTCAACGCCCAGAGCTATTTTAAT